GTAAAATATAAAGGGGCACACCCCTTTATATACTAAGGAAATCCTCCATGATCACTAATGCAAAAGAAAGTTCTTGGCATCGCGCGCAGCCGCGATTCCTCCATCAGGTTCCGCTATCCTCCGTTGTGCGACAACGCATCCCAATCACTCATACCAAGGAAATCCAACCATACAACCCAGAAAACCACAACCAATATATGCAACGAAGAACCCATGCGTATTCCGTCTCTATAGCTGGGTGGCCGCGACACCGATAGACGATGTTTAAGGTCTTTGGGTCTACCCCTCCGCTCTCCTCTTTCTACAGTCAGATCGGCTGGGGCCCTACTGCTACACCTTCCTCTCCCCCCAGTTATCGCCCACGGCTGGCTGGTCTCCTCCTTCCCTCCATGGTATTGCACTGCCTCCTTGAAGTGGGTCTGGGGGGAGCCCCCTATCTTAGCATGCTTCAGACATCGCTTCCCACTTGAATGAGTGGACTCACCCTTCAGAGCGCCATGTGGCTTGCTACTAACCTTTCTTTTGTCTTTTTAGGATTTCTCAGCTGGTTTTCCTGGCCCTTCCTGCTTTCTTCTTAGTTAGGATTTCCTTGTTCATCTATCTAGCTGGGCTTGGGTTTCTTTTCTTTGAGGCGAGATGTGCGGTTGGCTCCATACTAGAGGGGCTTGGGGGGTTGGCTTTTTCCTGGAGCGAGAGGAGGGATATGGGTTTTTTGTTGTCATAGCTAGCACTCCATACGCTTTTTGTACCCTAAACAAATAATCATTGAATCAAACAAAACAAAAAAAAAAATCTGGCTACCAGGTATTTATTTCTATATTTGCCTCTTCCAGTATTCTCTTTTATCTTATTGTTATAACATAGAGATTGTCTATTAACTGGTGTTTTGATAGTACTTATAGATCCTTTGAGGGCCCTCACCAACTCAGGTGTTGATAATAATAATACTTACCTACTATATGAGAATTTGATGAGGCCTATACTATAGAGTCTACAGGAATTAGGGAATTGGAGCTTACAGGTTGCTTGATAAGCCTATTTAAGTTTCAACTATATTTGTACCATAGATTTTACATTTTCTAAGTATTAGCTTCCTACTAGGATGCAATGCTATATATTATGATAAGCCAATAGTATATCAGTACTAGATAGTTTAGCTTTCTGTAATGAATAAATTTTGTTTGAATACTACATCTGTACTTAAGAATTATAATACTTTCTCTTTTAGTTATATGAGACTTAAACTTCTGAACCCTAACCCTGAACTCCTGAAACCTTGAACCTGATACAGACATATATTATTTGTCTACCTGAACCTAAACCTCTTTCAAGATTGTATTCTTAAATAGTAGTATACTAGTACCTTGGCCTACCCAAACCCTCAGACTCTTCCTATTATAATAATATTTAACCTTTAGGAAAACAGACAATCCTACAGTATAGTATAAAAAAAAGACATAGTTATTACCTATTATGATATAAACAGTTGAACTATAATATAGCAATAATTAAATTAATTCATAATTATCATACTCGATATTTTCTATTAGTCTGAGGTAAACAAAAAATCTACCGCACACCACCACCATACATGCAGGAACCTTCACCATTCTTACCCTAGTGTCAGATAAACTCGTCCCCTGTTGGGCACTTCTTACCCCTCCAGGTCCTTTCACAAAACCTCCCAGTATTCAATCATCATATATCACTCGATTTGACATCTAGGTGCATTCTTAACCGTTCGCCCTCCCTCGCACACACAAACCTCTTTCTGCCATACTTTATAATATCGCACTATATAGCTTACTGCTTCTATACAACCCTTTTGTTTCCCTCCTTAAATTCAGATGTATATATGTAAAAACTTTCATAGAACCCTAGCCACATAACTCCATCGCCAAACGCCTTAGGTCCGTTTTTCTCAACCACATTATCCGACTATCGTCGTTCATGTACGATACAAGAGAGAACCTATTAATTAAACACTGTACTGTACTCGGCGTATCCCAAATCCCCCAGAAACCAGATATATATATACAAATAAACGATCTTTCACTTATGGTATGATTGATACGCTATAACTTCACGGAACACCGGCTACGTGACTCCCGTTTCAGAGATTTTTTTTTTTTTTTAAAAGAGAATCGTCGAGCATTGCTCTTGCTGCTGCTTGCTGTAAACTTACCTAAATTCGAGTGATCTCCAGTGACTCTTGTTCATTCGTTTGGCCTCTCTTCTGCTGCCTACCTACTCCTCGAATGCTGTGCACTATACCGTCGCGCTCTCCATGCCCCGGCACCGCGTTACGGGAACTTGAGGAATGGAGAAAAGAAATCCCTTTCTGGGTCTATTTTCACTCATACAACCCACGTGACCTCCGGTGCCGGTATATACTGCACGGCCACCCCTGGGCCAACCCACGTTTCCGACGCTCGCTCAAGGACTGGATAGCTAGCTAGACTAGCCGTGGAAGGCGAGGTGCACTGAGTTGGACACAGCACGTTACCACCAGAACACGCCAAACAAATGAGTAAAGTTCGCTACCGGTAATGTGAATCCTCTTCTCAGTAATACGGTGAGGATACGGTGGATAGACATGATGGATAGTCAATAGCAATCCGGCCATCAACGAGCTAGTCGACAGACACTCACAAAGCCATCGTTCCGAGCATTTTTATAGTTAATATGCATCAGCCCGAACCCACCAAAAAAACACACACATGACAGGTAGATACACCACATCACCTCCCTCCCTACAAAGCACCCCAACCCCACCAACCTCAGTGCCTTTCCTGATCACAAGAGATCACTCGATTTCTACCCCTCCTTGATTTCTCACGCAGCTCATCCAACCAACTTCTGGAAACTCAGCTCTCGCGTACAAAGCTAGACAAATACCGTCACTTGTGTCGCAAATTGTACGGGAGGAAGTGAAACTAACAATCCGGGCGATACAGTAGCACAGGGTAGCATCGAGAAATGAATATAAGAGCAAAAACAAACTAAACCCCCACCGCGACGAGGAGCGAGTTTTTGATACGATAGATTGATATGATGGATACGGTGGATAAGCAAGCAGCCCCGCCTCCCGCCACTTCGATTATCAGTGTATCATATCGTGCCCATCATGCCTACCCCGCATCGGAACGGAGCAGGACCCTTCCCCCGTCACACGTGTCAGTGCCGCTTAAGGACACGATTCGCCTTGATGGAGTATCGTAAATACCACCACCGTATTCTCCTCCCTTCCCTCCTCCTCTAGCCCCCCCCCCGTTTTCTTTCATTCCGAAACCAACAACTCTCATTGCAATGCATACTGATATCAACAGGTGAAGAGTGGTTGAAGGGGGTTATTTTTGAAAAGTGGAGTGAGGAAACGAAAATGAGAAATTAAGGCTAGACGACCAGAATTCTGTTTTGCCCCCTCCTCTCCCTATCTGCCCGTTATACATGGTAGGAGAGGGGGGGTATAGGTGGAAGAAAAAAGACCGAGAAGAGGGAATTTAGTAGCGAAAACGAAAAGATAAAAGAAAACCCATAGAAATGCTGTAAATGGACAGAAACAAAAAATACCAGCCGGAAAGAACTCCAATCATGAGTAGAACACAAATAGAAAGCTACGAAATCAGACAATGGAACAGCCACAAAGTGAGCCTCTCACTTGAAAGAGAGGAAAAGCGAAAATTGACAGACTTCAAACCCAAGACAACCCGAGACGCGAGAGGAAAAGCTGGAGAGGGAGAAAAAAGAATCTTAAAAAAATAAAGGAAAGAAAAGAATCAAAACACCATACCCATAGCCCTAATACATTTCCACCTCCATCCGAAAACTGCAGACCCACAAAACTTGAACTTTAACGAACATTAACAAGCAACTCGGCCTCAAGAATGAACTTTCCTTCCTTGTAACCCTCCGACGCCTCATAGGCTTTATCGTACTTCCAGCCGACAATTTCATTGCACTGGCGACAAGAGATGTCGCGAACGACATGACGGCCGGTAGTCATGTTGCGCTCAACGGGTTCGGCTTCGCTAATGTTGACGACGGCATTGAAGAGGTAGGCTTTTCCATGTTGGCCACGGAAGTTCTGGAAAATTATTTCCACCCCGCGTTAGCAAACCGGCCACTAGACCCACTACCGTTGAGAGAAACTAAAAAGGAGCAGAAGAGAGGGAGGGGAGGCGTGTACGCGGGACAGGATGTCTTCATGATTAGACAAGTGAGTTTTGCAGTTTTTGCATCCGTAAATACGGCTAGAGTTGAGGTAGACGTTGTAAGAGAGACCCATCTTGAGTTTCCGGTTCGGTGGCCTTTTAACCCGTTGAGCGGGGAGGGGCGGGGGCGGGGTGTGTATTGGCAGTTGTGGTAGTGGGGGGCAGCTGGTAGGGAGGTGTTGGGTGAGTTAGAGTAATGTCAGCTCGCCCTCTTTTCCGGGGCTCTGGTGTTGCTCTGTGTGTGGCTGAATGCTCGAGCGGTGGGGGTTCCGTTTATGGAATGACGAGAAAGATGGATAGTGGGAGAGGAGGCAGGAGGGTACGAGGGAGAGAGAAGGAAGGGAGAATAAGCTGTGGTAGATGTACCTTATCTATGACGTGCGGTAACTGCTGACGAAGCGGTTTTGTCAGAATCAGCCGTGAGAGAGAAAGCGAGTGGAAGGGGGGGGGGGAGAGAAAGAGGAAAAGCGAGAAGGGGAGCGAGGGGAGAGGGAAAGGGAGGGAGACAGAAAGGTGGACTACTGTAAGTGGTATTCACGTGGTCTTGTCACGTAACTTCGGTCTTGATCGTGTCGTGCTCTCTCACTTCACCGTTGACGCGCTGAGCCGGAGGAAGTACTGTGACTTATTGACACCGTGGAGTGTTCGGCCTACGAACAAAGAAACTTGGTTTTCACAGGATGGCGGTGTGTACCAGAGCTGGAAGGATATCATAGGAAGCATTCGAAAGGCCTAGGCGTGACCTACTTGATCAGTCCGGAACCAATACCGTACTCGCGCAGCCAACAAATCTTTGTATCTCACGAGGCTCTGTATTGTACGGACCAGAGGAGAGAGGAAAAGAGAAAAGAGTGCAAGCAACAAAAATGTCCCCTATTTGCCGATTTATAAATTTATATAGCCCTGACCACACTCCTCAATTGATGTTCAGACAGAAAAGCTGAGTAACCCCCATATGGACACTGCCCTCACCCCGCATCCGCCTCTGACAAAAATGGTATCGTCGAGTTCCTGCATCCCGATATCATAATATTGCCATACTATCTAACCTTGCCCGTCTGGCTATTCATGGTACGTACAGTACAGGCACCGCGAATGTGTGGTACCGCCACGCGCCCCTTCTGCGGTGGCCGATGCCCCATTTGCCGCTGACCTACTACCCGTACAACGCCCGCAATATACCGATGTGTAGATGATGCTCGTTGATTCCCAGGCAACCTTCATTTATATCTATGGAAATCATCCATTCTCTATGATGTTCGCCATACCCTGTCGCAGGCGATGAACCCGCTACCGGTAAGTTGGCCCCCAAACTTGCCCGGGCGAGAGGAACCAACACCGGACCCCCGACCGCAGGGGAGAAGGACGGGGCAGAGGCCTGGTAGGGGGCTTATTAGCCAATTTACTCTTTACTCGGAAGTAATCCGTCATTTCATCAAGGTTTCGGTTGCTTTAGCTACCGGTACAAGTATGATGGCTTACGATCCAACTAGCAATCACATGGTCTCACTCGAGAGAAAGTTTGAGAAACCACCTCGACAGGAAGAAAACAAAATCAATAAAATATAAATCAGAAAGAGACAATTGATAACTCGGGAATCCAAAGCTGAATCCAACGCCGTCCTTCACCTTTTCTACCTACCAGCTTACTTACCTGTCTCCCTCCCCAACCTCACCAATCCTCCCCAATCTTCTTCTCCCATCATCTCATGCCCCAAGCTATCTTGTTCATCGAACATTGGTGTTTAAACTCTCCCGACCCAGCAGAGGACTGCTCCAACTATCATTGTACCGACTGCCCAAACTCCGCTAACACCGGCAGCACCCTTCAAATCACCGCCTTTAACCTTTCCAGCAAGAACAACGACAGAGCTGATTCCCTGATAGCTAGCAATCAATAAAGTCCTCCTGATGATCTTGCGCGAGCGGGGGCTCAATATGTTCATCCACATACGAAGGAAGAACCCCCAGACACCGGTATAATCCTGCTTGATCTCTTCGGGAGTGGGATCGGTTGGGATGGTAGAGTCTGCAGATCCGTTTGGAGAGTAGAAGATAATCTCGCTAGCAGCCCAACCAACAGGCATCATCATCACCGCACGAGCAAGAAGTGCCGCTTCCGGGGCGTCGTGCACGCGCGCCACTGATTCCAAATCCCAACCACAATCCAAGAGCCAAGAGGTAAGGAATTTTTTGCCCGCCGAGTAAAGGACCAACTGGTAGATACTGGATGAAAGGAGGGTTGTTAAAAAACGGGTCGTATCGGTCTTAGAATCCTGCTTGAAGGGTGTTGTGGGGCCCCTGGGCGAAGCGCGAAGGAAGCGAAGAGGAAGGTAGATCGACAACACGTCTATCGCGGTGGTCACAGTAAGCGTCGGAAGGAGCGGCGAGTGGCTTGGCTGGTATGTATGTAGATAGTGAAGCGCAGGCGAAAGAGTGAGCGTAACTAGACAGGCTGCTTGTGAGGCTAGAGCGGGAGAAAAGGTGCATTGTTAGCGGACTGTCGTAGCCTCGTGATGAAGCCGAATGGCCATACCATCCCATCCACCTATCCAGTAACCCAGAACCTCCACAACACGCCACCCGACCACTCCCATATAATCGTTTAAAGTGGTCATCGGCCGTTCAACGGCCATAATGTCCTGGCCAATCCATGGATTGGCGAGGTAACTAAGGCCAGAAGCGAGCACGAGGTTGAAAAACACGAGAAGTACAGGCCTAAGTTTAGAAGGAATAGCGTTAGATGCTGCGCGTATGATCGAGGTCATCTTTGCTCCCGGATTCTTTCGCGCACTTGATGGAAAAAATGGATGTTCGCGATGGTGAGAAAAATGAGGAGGTGGTGAACCGGGAGGGGAGGGTTGGAGGTGTTGGAGTTTGTGACGTATCAGTCCCGGCTGAGCCAACGCCTGTCAACAAATAACCCAATGGATGAGGACTAGTTAATGAGTTACCAGATATTCGCACTCTATTCTCACATAAACGCACAAGCAACAACACCTAGGGCGGATTTATTCAACTACCGGTACTTTCTTTGTGGTGAGAGTCTCGTGGGAGCTCAAATCTTGCCTTTTGCTTGGGGAACGATGGTATTATGCATTCTACTCCCCAATCACACTTTAAGCATGGCTGCGACGATTAAACTCACGTGACCATTAATCGTGGCTATGATACCTCCTGGCATGGAGGGGCAGAGAAGCCACACCCCATACCCGCCAACGGGCCAGAATCTGGTCTTGACATTTGATACCGGTATGGCACGGGCGAGCATCTCACCCCCATCACCATCATCATCATTCGAAACCCTCAGTATCGTAGGGTCAGATACAAACGGTAGCTCTTTACCACAAGACTGCTGACAGCTTTAGCATATTCTCTTTGTTCCGGCCATACCATTTTTCTTCGCCATCACCATCAAACTTCGCTACGATTGACCACCGTACCCTCTCTCTGCTCGGCCGGGGGAAGAGTTACCGGCAGTCTAGTTACTCGCCTCACTTCACTGAAGGGATAGAGTAACTCGCCTCATTTATTCGCTTAACAAAATATGGAGTACATCCGGGTCGCTAAAGTATGTGTCTCCCCTATCTCCTCCCCGCCCCAAGGTGCTTGTGAACAATCAGCTAACACAGAGGTACCTGACGACTTCAAGGTCGAGAACGTGACCATCCTACATCACGGGCAGCCGACAGTTGGGACCCTCCACCTTACTCCCCACCATCTCATTTTCCGAATTGATCCCGAAGCTGAATCGTTTTCTCAATCGGCTTCCCAAACTCCACCCCCACAAGCAAAGCCTGTAAAGCGGCCCCGGGAAATATGGATCACATATCCAATAATTTCTACACTCTTTCGACATCCAGCGAGTGCCGCTTCACCGGCCCATTTGCGGCTGCGGAATCGAGATTTTTCCTTCCTTACTTTCCAGTTCAAGACGGAGCGGGAGTGCAGAGATGTTTTTGAGTCGATCAAAGCACTTACCATTGTCAAAGGGGTGGAAAACCTTTACGCTTACTCTTACGCCCCAGGCTCTATTGAGAAAAAATTCAACGGGTGGAGGATATACAATCCCCTCAAGGAATACGAGAGGATGGGCATTGGCACTGAAAGATGCAAAGGGTGGAGGATATCAAAAATCAATAAAGATTACGCTGTGAGTTGATACCTCTTTTTGAGCGTGCTCCGAATGGGAGCTAATTTCAAGTAGTTTTCTCCAACCTACCCTGGATTGTTGGTTGTTCCAGCCACAATAAGTGATACGACCTTAAGCCATGCCAAGAACTACCGGTCCAGGGCGAGAATACCCGTCTTAACGTGATTCCCCCGCCTTATGATGAGGGATATCGTACTAAAATTCGAATAGTTATATCCACCCGCTCAACAACTGCTCCATAACCAGGTGTTCACAGCCGCTAACGGGCGTCCGTGGGAACCGTAGCATACAGGATGAGAAGCTCGTCGCTGCCATTTTCGCCTCGTCACAACCACAGAATCTGCCCCAAACGCTAGGGCAACCCGAAACTTTCAATTCATCCCCTTCCGGCTCCTATACTAATCTCGGGGCTCTGTCACTGGATTCCGATGCATGCACTGCTAGCTCCCCTCCCGAAGCCACAGAACCACCACCAAAAATATACGGGGCGCAACAAAACAATCTGATCGTGGATGCCCGCCCCACTGTGAATGCATATGCTATGCAGGCGCTGGGCATGGGGAGCGAGAACATGGAGAACTACCGGCACTTGTCTTCGCCGCCTTGCACAAAGACTTACCTTGGCATTGAGAATATTCACGTCATGAGGGATTGTTTGAACAAGGTAATCGAAGCTATCAAGGATTCGGACCTCTCTCCCCTACCTCCAAACCGGGAAATGCTTATTCGCTCGGGGTGGACGAAGCATATTGGGACGATGTTGGATGGAACAGTAGTAATTGTACGGCAAATTGCCCTCGAGCATAGCCATGTTCTCATTCATTGCTCCGATGGATGGGATAGGACCAGTCAGCTTAGCTCTCTAGCGCAAATCTGTCTCGATCCATATTTCAGAACCATAGACGGGTTCATGGCGCTGGTGGAGAAGGATTGGGTAAGCTTTGGTCACAGGTTCCGTGACCGTTGTGGCCCCCTCGGGAGTGATAAGTGGTTCATAGAGAAGAGTGGAAACGGAGTATCTGCAGAGGAAGCATACCTCGGCTCTGAGGACGATTCACTCGCTTCTCGAAACGGTGGTCCCGGGACATTCGCAACTGTAGCAAACGCCGGTGGGGGCCTCGGTGAGGCTTTGGAAAAGGGCATTGGGCAAGCAAAGCTCTTTTTCAACACTGTAGGCGTCGTGCCAGGACGTGCCTCTTCGTCGGCGAGCAATGGCACGGAACTGTTAGATGGCGCAGAGGACTATTCAACCTCACCACCTCCCGACCGTAAAACAAAACCAGCAAACGCAGCGACAACCCCAGTAACATTAACCAAGCCAAAAGAGGTCTCCCCAGTGTTTCACCAATTCCTCGACGCAACCTATCAACTCCTGCACCAGAACCCCACACGCTTTGAGTACAACGAACGCTTCCTAAGAAGACTCCTCTATCACCTATACTCTTGCCAGTACGGTACCTTCCTTCATAATAATGACAAGGAACGCCACGACGCGCGGATCCAGGAGCGTAGCCGCAGCGTATGGGACTACTTTCTCGCTCGGAGGGAAATGTGGATCAGCGAAAAGTACGATCCTGCTGCCGACGGGGCTGATAGGGAGAGGGAAATTGATGGGGGGAGGGTGTTGTTCCCGAAGACTGGCGCGGCGATCAGATGGTGGGAGGAGTGCTGGGGGAGAGAAGTGGGGGAGATGAACGGGAGCGCTATCAGTTTGCCTGCTACAAGTTTTCCTGAGGAATGGGGTGGGAGTGGAACTGGAGGTGGGGGAGGAAGGGGGACCAGTCCGGCGCCCGGATGGCAGAGTGGGAGCGTGGGTGGGAGCGTGGGTGGGAACGATAAAGGGATAGAAGTTGAGATGATGTAGACCTGTATTGTCTTGTTTCTGTTCCTCTCTACCCGATGTTTTTTTGTTTTTCCCTTCGTTCCTGTTTGCTCTTCTCTTTTCTTCCTTTCTTCTCTCCCCCCCCCAATCGGGTTGGCCAGTTGGGTTGCTAGTTTCTGCATGTATTCGGCATCCAATCGCATGGTTGTTTGGCGGCTTCTGCCTGCTCTGTTTCGTTGGCTATCCTCACTGCTCGTGCTCTGTTTGCTTCATCAAGACATTCTATCATGCATGTTTGTGCTCGGCAATTTGTGAAGCACCGGTATCCGGACGCTTTGCCGTTAAAATAGGTACTAATCAATACTAAGGTGTCTGAATACCCTTATAAATTGCCAGTCCAGATCAGCCCGTACTGCCCGGTTACGGGCAGAGGTCAACGGAACTTTTTCTATTTTTTCCCTCCTCATTCACTCTCCCGCACGGTACTAGTACTGGTGCAGTACCGGCACCGGTCCTCCTGTCCTCCTCCCCGGGATTCTCCCACGATGGCAATGCACTGTAGGCTAGTGTTGTGAGTGACGTGGTGCTGGGGGGGGGGGTGAAGAGTTAGGGTTAAAATTCTTAATCAGTGTCGTAAATGACTATCGCAGCAGGAACTCACAGTGGGGTGCCAGGTGCCAAGCCCTTGGTGACCCCCATCACCCCCCGTCACTCCTTATTCCTGACCCCCCGTCACTGGCCATGGTCAGGTTCATGACTATAATATGTTGAATGAGATGCTATTAGGGTGCATCCTCAATGCTCTGAGGGGTGGATTCCTATTAATTATGTTAGTCACCTAGATCTCCTTGCGCAAACCCTCTATTGTCGTATGCTAAGAGGTTATCTCATGTTCTACTCGTGTCTCCGAGCTAAGAATGGGCACTCAATTGGGAATAGGCCATATACTCCTAAAAGTAGTAAAGTGTTCATGCTATTTGAAAGACAGTGAGAGTGATGCAAGATTGCAGTAACTGGGCGGGGTGATATCAACATATGATAAAACTACCCTGAAAGTTCTCAAAATTCTGTAAACAAGACTGGTTCTCATACAATGTAAATGCTTTCTCTTGGCTGCATCAAATTTAGAAATTAATATTACGAATAGTGCTATGACGAAGGGAAAGAGCCTTACTACCACTATGCATAGTGCCATTATTGCTCTCCACAGGCATATCCAAATATCGTTTTCCGAAATTGCATTAGTCAGTGGTAGTAGTGAAGAAACAAAGCAGTATCAAGACTTTACCATAAATGGATCTGGGGAGGTTATTCCAAAAGAGGTGCCCATTCTTGGCTCCGAGACACAAGTATATCGTAGACCGTACCAGCGTAGACTCAGTTACTCACTGTGACTGTGTTGCCCACTAAAGCCACGTTAACAAAGTTGGAACTTCCAGACAGTTATTCCTGTCCCATTTTTCCTTCCGCGAAACTTTGGTGGGTTTCTTCTCTAGACTTCATCATTGTCTTTCTTTACTTCTGTTCATAAATCAATCCAATCAGTCTCCCATTTTCATTTTCATCTTCCATCAAGGCCACTCTGCCTCCTACCCAAGATTCGCATCTCCTACCGAAGACACAACTTTCTTTAATGTTTGCCAAATACCATATCACAATGGCAGAAATGTTTAGTGGCACTGCTGACTACCATCCACCTAGCCTAACAGTATCGCGTGGATCTTCTACACCAGGAGGGTCTCCATCAGGAGGGTCTACACCGGAACAACCCTCGACAGCAGCAACAAATCCTGGGGAGATAATGCCTACAAAACGCTCTGGAACAGCTTCGGCTATCGCATCTCATTTAAACTCCCTAGAGATCACTACCCCCAATGAGTCTAATCCATCCAACCTAGCACCGCCAAGCACTGCCTTTAGCGATCTCGTGGCACTGATTCCCGCTGCAAATAAACTTATGTTTTCGGGTGCCACCCATCTGGGTGGCCAAGTGGCGGCAAAGATTCGCCGTTGTATTGAATCGGGGACTGGGTTCTATGTCCATGTCAGTGGAGTGACTGAGGGGATGATTAATGCCATCGAGGATAGCTTCATTGATCGTGGAATACGTGGCCAGGTGAGATTCACCTACGAATATGATCTTGAGTCAATGATCATCAAGTGTATGCCGGGTGCTGCACATGAGAACGTGAGCCGGAGTTTCCTGATCAAACTTGATCATAAGATTTGCGCGATCCCAGTGCCATTCTGAGGATTCCTAGTGTTCGTTACGGGGCGGGGCGGGGCGGGTTTCCGGAAGTTCTCCCCGCCCCGTTACGGCCACAGGGCACTGCCAAACTCCCCACTCCCCGCCCCGCCCCGCCCCCCGCACGGGGGCTACCGGGTGACCCCAATTGTGCTCCCAGCCATATAATTTGGTGGGAGCAGTAGCGGGGCCCCGTACAGGGGGTGGCCAGGGCGGGGGGCCGTATTGGGCCGGGGGGGGAATGGAGGAGAAAATAGGCCGCGCCCCGGGCCAAACGCCGGGGCGGGGTGGGGAACGGGGGCAGGGACCTGCAGTTTTCGGGGCCCCGGAGGCCCCGTAACGAACTCTAAGGATTCCTATGTTCCTGTTGGGAGTACTAGGTTTTCTGTTCCTGGTAAGTGCAGTAAGGAGTGTTGAATTTTCTAATTCGTTTCATATGTATATTCTCCTTGATAATATCGTATATTCCTCTACTTAGTATTTCTTTTGACTATGAACATTACTACAGCTGGAGTATGTATTACGTATATTTCATATTATATTTCATGATACGATTAGGGAATTATGGCGTATTTTCTTATCTGGTGTTCGGGTTTATTTCCTACATTTTATTTGCTCACACCACTTCAGATATACGCATGTTTTATGGGATTTCCTTGGCAATTCTTCAGGGTCAAACATGCTTCCACTTATGTTTCCCTTATATTTCTCTCAGTTACTTAAAGGACGCACACCTGTATAAATAGGCGTTACCGTCCATCTCACTTAAGAGAATTAAGGACAAGAATTACTACCAATCTACCTTCATACCAAACTCCTCCTCGCTTAACGTGCCCGTGGTATACTCTCTCTACTACGTCGTATTTTCGTACAAAGTTATTAAGATAGTGCCGTACCGTACACATTTGAATAAGGAGGGTGATGAGGGGCTGAAACCTGCCGATACCCGCCAGCGTGAAGAGGATTGGCGATCCCTGCATGAGGATGCCTGTTGGTGGTTAAGGGAGTCAAAGGGACAGACAAAGATGGTAATCCTAATCCAGATTACCAAAAACCCAAAGTCCCTGCGCTTGGAATGCTGGGAAAGTTTGCCCGACCCAAACAGGCCATCCACGTGTATACGCACCTTCACAGCACCCGGGTTTGTTCAATATTTCGATGTATCCCATCCAGACCTTGTCATCCCGTACCGTACTATGTTCGATACACCTGATCCCGCAGGCACCGATATCATACTATTCAAAGGAGAGTTGTCACACTGGGCTTTGCAGATTTTTCGCCGGCTGAATAAGAGGGAAGCAGTAAGTTTGCAAGACACTTGAAGCTAAATATTGATGATTCACCAACCTGCAGATTGCTAATACCTTTAGGTCACATTCTGCCCATTAGGAACATACCAGCACTGCTAATGGTGGTTGAAACCGGGTGGCATTGGAGAGGGGTAACTGGGGGGGGAAAAGAAAAATTGAAAAGACAAAACATAAAATACATATCAAGCTGAATAGTAAATTGAAACGTTTCGTCAACTTTCCCTGTCCACGGGAAGCTCGTGAATCAGACGTGGAGTGGGTGGTCTCTTGTCTCAATTCTCATCTCACTTCAACTACCGGCAACGGGAGTCCTTAAATACATGAATTTGAAAAACTCTTATGTGACTTATCACTCCAGCCCATCTTTGCTTCACTTTTGATAACAGTGATCTCACTGCTTCACTTCTCATCACACCTCACCTAACACCTTCGCTTCCCTCCTCTGCGCTTCTCTTCATTTCCCTTCCCTTTTCGGCCTTTCTTCTCGCTATAACTTCTCTTCTGTTCTCAATGCTACTGCGACTCTCACAAAACTCATGAGGCATCATTCTTCCTTCTCCTGTGCAATAGATAACTATATCATTATAAAGTTTTATTCAGATAGAAGGAAAATGTGATACAATAGTGTAAGCTTCCTTAAGAGCATTACGAGCAACTATGTAGAGACTTAACGACAAGGCTGGACAAATAATATTGTATGATATCATACTCAGGGGACACCAATTAGCCACCACCCCCTAATAGCACACCTGGCAAGATCGCTTGGAAGGAGCACTACTGCAGGTCTGGCGGGAAGGCTCCCCCGCCATGGCAGAGCAAACCCTATTCACCAGAAGTCAAGATAAACGGAAAGCAAGCGGGAATCTGCCAACTCCCAGACTGGTGACACCCCTAACCCGTTGGGAAACACGGAACAGAAGAGCCCGAGGGCGGTATGGTTCCACCGGCCGGAGAATCGCGAGAAAAGTAGAATGAAGAAAGTTTTCTTCTTCTTCTTCTCCTCGGAGCGGTACAATATATTTGTGTCGGGGCAAATGCCATGTTACTATAACGGACTGAGGCGCGAATCCGGTGATTCATTGTAAATAACTAACTTAAAATACCGTGATGGATGTGACCGGACGTACCACTTTCGCACAGACTCTTGAGGAGAAAAGAGAATCTAACAGTTGAAGAAGGCGGAATTGACATATTGTACTCGTACAGTCACTTCAATGTACGAGTACGGCTCCGCCAATGGGCAAACCCGCCCCCCCGGCTAATTTCACGTACCTGGTACTTGTACTCGGAGCACACGGTCCAGTAACGTGGAGGGAATAGCTCGCTCGAAGCGCACAGACAGAAGGTCCTCCACTGATGATACCATGTATAGATCCAGTGGTAAGTTACGGTAGATTCATGCATCCCGTTGAGTTAACAATCTCCCATGGCAAGGGCAGTGGCAACAGCACCAACACCTCCAACAGTGGAACTAGAGGATTGTCATC